CTCTCCTTTACTTTCCTCTCTAGGCTGCTCCTGAATCCTGTTCCCTGACATCCATGAAGCCCCTCCAGCCATCCACCTCTTATAAGTCAAGTTGAAATCTCAGCCTCCTGCAACATTTTCTTCTCGTGTGTGGCCCAGATCTCTCCAACTCTCCAACTTCTGTTTAATCTGATCGTGGCTCCTTTTAAGTCCAGGTAGCATTTTGGTCCCTGTTCCTTGCCCATACTAAAACAGCTTGAAATATCCCAAAAACGAAATAAAATCCAAGCTAGAAAAATTGTGAATTCCTGCGAGGAGGAAGAGGTGGAGGAGGAGGAGGAGGAGAAAGAGGAGGAAACAATCAGTCAGTCTTATTATGTTGAAAAAATAAAATCTAAGGAAAAAAACTTAGTGAATTGCTGCGAGGAGGAGACCTGGAGGATGAGGAGGAGGAGGAGGAGGATGAGGAGGACGAGGAAACAATCAGTCAATCTTATTATGTTTAAAGAATAAAATCCGGCCGGGCGCGGTGGCTCAAGCCTGTAATCCCAGCACTTTGGGAGGCCGAGGCGGGTGGATCACGAGGTCAACAGATCGAGACCATCCTGGTCAACATGGTGAAACCCCGTCTCTACTAAAAATTACAAAAAATTAGCTGGGAACGGTGGCGTGTGCCTGTAATCCCAGTTACTCAGGAGGCTGAGGCAGGAGAATTGCCTGAACCCAGGAGATGGAGATTGCGGTGAGCCGAGATGGCGCCATTGTACTCCAGCCTGGGTAACAAGAGCGAAACTCCGTCTCAAAAAAAAGAATAAAATCCAAGTTAAAAAATGTGAATTTCTGCGAGGAGGAAGAGTAGGTGGAGGAGGAGGAGGAAACAATCAGTCAATCTTATTATGTTTAAAAAATAAAAGGCAAGCTAGAAAAATTGTGAATTGCTGTGAGGAAGAGGAGGAGGAGAAGGAAACAGTCAATCTTATTATGTTTAAAGAATAAAATCCAATATAGAAAAATTTCTAATTGCTGTCCGGAGGAGGTGGAGGAAACAATCAGTGAATCTTATTATGTTTTACGCAAAAAATCCAAGAGAGAAAAAATGTGAATTGCTGCCAGGAGGAGGAGGCAGAGGAAGAGGCAGAAGAGGACGAGGAGGAGGAAGAATCATTCATGTAGATATTTAAACTTTTGAAAAGTTTTAGGAAAGGTTGGTAAATCTTTACACAAGATTTTGTTAATATTTTTCGATATGTGTTATTTCCTTTTTTTGTATTTAAATAACTTCTGGTATTTTCTTCCTGTCAAATTAATATCATATTATTTTGTTTGAATTTTTCATTTAGTGGTATTAGAAAATGCAGCAAAAATGTTTATATTGGCAAAGATAGGATCCAAGAAGAGTGACTGATTCTCACTGTTACTGCGGTTGTACAACGTATCTAGAATCTGACATAGGCGTGGTCTCTCAGACCTCTAACAGTCCTCTCATCCAACAATACAAAAACCCTGCTTTGATTGTATGTTCTACTAAAAATAAAACTATTTGAATGTCAGCATTGAAGTAAAAGATATAAGAAGCAGATTATTTCAATGAAAATGTTCTTTTTTGAAAATCACAGTTCTCTTTGTTCCCAATTCTGTATTGCAATGGTTATGAGAATGGGCTCTCTGAAGCCCTAATTTAATTCCTGGATTCATCCTAATAGCTGTATATTTATAGAAAAACTGTGTAACCTCTTTTTTTTAACTGTTTTCACATCTGTAAATGAGGTTAGGAGTATTCTAAAGATTGAATATAAAAATATAAGCAAAAACCCTTAGATTAGTGCCTGGCATATATGAACTCAATAAATGTTATCTGTTGTTGGTATTGTTAAGGAGGGATTAAAATGTCACAATTGAGATACAAGAATTTCTTTAAATATTTTGATACCACTGAAATTAAGAAGCCCATTAATGAGACCAAATACAAAAACTAAAAGTGTTTTTCAATGACCAAATACAATCTTAAAGTCAGTTGGTTATAAAAAGAAAGAAAAAATCCATTGGCCCAGGAAGTGGAAATGGTCGGAATTTGTAAAGCAAATTTTAACAAATCTTTTAAGCATTTAGTATTCTGTGAAATAATTATAAATAATTTAAAATAAATTATAATAACCTAAAATTATGTTTATTTTATAATATTTCATAATAAATTTATGAGCAGAACCTATATTTATAAATAATATACTGTTATATTAATGGAAAAGCCTAAGACTTTATTTGATAGTAGTTATCAGCCATAATTACCTTAATTTTTAAGTGCTATTACATTTTTTAATAAAAATATTTAATGACATATTTTATCTTTTTATTTACTTGAATAGATTCAGAGACGATGGCGAGGCTACAGGGTTCGGAAATAGGTCTTTAATTATTATTATTTCAAAGAGTATCTGAGAGTCGTGTCAGAGACCAATGATGCAATTAGGTAAGTACCACAATCACCCGTTGACTAGGGAAAACTTTGGAAAGGGAGTCAATGTATGTTGATCAACGCCATACTTAGAAATACTTTCTAAATGTCAGTGATATTTAAGCAGGCATTTATTCAATATATCCATGTATTTATGATTCTATCTACCTTAGCGTATTATTATTATAGTTTTAAAACCTGGTATTCTTCACTGCAGTTTATTTATGTGTGTAGTATCTTGGTCCTATACAAAATAGTTTCAGAAAAATTATTTGATAATCAGATGAATTTATGTGTAAAACGATTCTAGAAATGCAACATTAAATATGATAAGCTTCAGATGCATTTGAGAAATATGTTCCCTAGCAAGAACTTGCCTCTCTGAGAAGAGAAAATATCATGAAACACATTAAAAGTGTCTGTTCACTGTCAGTTTTAATCTGTTTAAACACATAGGAAGATAGGACATAGATTTAGGATACGGGAGCTGTAGAATTATGCAAAGTAAAGGCATCATAATACTATTCAGGCAGCCTTTTCAAGTTCTATATGTTTTCATGTTACTTTGTAAATAGTTTTTTCCTCCTCTGATAGGCCCCACTCTAATAACATGTAAATGACCATATGCATGTAGCACGTTTTGTTAAAAAAGAAATATTAGTTAACAATAGTTAGCATTTAGAGAATAGTCTCACTCTTAAAACATTTTGTACATATATCATATATTACCTTATTTTACTTTTTTTTTTTTGAAATGGAGTCTCCTGTCTCCCAAGCAAGCTGGAGTGTAGTGGCACAATCTTAGCTCACTGCAACTTCCGCTTCTGGGGTTCAAGCAACTCTTTGGCCTCAGCCTCCTGAGTAGCTGGAATTACAGCCATCTGCCACTATGCCTGGCTAATTTTTATATTTTTAGTAGAGATGGGTTTTGCCGTGTTGGCTAGGCTGGTTTCTAATGCTTAACCTCAGGTGATCTGCCCACCTCAGCCTCTCAAAGTGCTGGGGTTATAGGCATGAGCCACTGAACCCAGCCACTTATTTTACTCTTTAAAGTCTTTGAACTAAAGAGAACAATTAACTGACAGTAAATTATTAAAATAAAGGTTTTATCTAAGATCCTAAAATAAGATATATTGCAAGATATATATTAAAACTGATTTCCCAACTACTAACTTTCACACATATGTTGTGAGTGTAAAGGGGTCTGGTCTTTGAGGATTACCTATAGAGAATTTGTTAAGTTCATTTCTTTGGAAAGCGAGCAGTTGAGGTGGGAAGGCTTCAATAGAATTTAGTTGATGAGAGAAGTTGGAAAATTCAGAAACACATGAACCATAGGGGACTGCTGTTTAATTTCTTCTTGAAACATCTACAATTCTAAAGACCAGCTGGCTGTCTACAAATGGCTGACTTTAGTTTGTAAGGAGAAAGAGCTAGTATAGTTTGCAGAAGAGAAGGATTATGTGCAGGGCTGGAACTAGGGTGAGATAAGTGAGATTTTTTTAAGGGAAGGAGGTGCTCACTGTCAGGGTTACACAACTGTCAACCTTGAACTTTCATAACCCCAAGAGTGAGTACGTCCTTCAGTTCTGTCCTTTAGGGGCCTCGCTTGCTTCACTCTTGTCTGAGCCCTGAGTAGGAGAAAGTCAAGGAGGCAAACAGGTGAAGATGTGGTTTTGGAAAGGTCTGAGTCTTTTATTTGACAGGTATTTCTAGTAATTCTTATTTTCCTTCTGATTTTAATAGGAATCTCTCTAGTCACTAGAGAGTCTGGTGTATCAGTGCTGACAACTTGTTTTAGAGTGGTATTCTATAGCATACTACAGAGCCATTCTATTATTTCTAGCTCTCTTAAAGTTTTTTAAACCAGGAATGGAAGTTGACTTTAGCAAATGCTTTTGTATCATCCATTGAAATAATTATATATGATGCTTTTCCTTCTTTATATATTAATATGCATAGAGCTATATTTTGTTAATAGGTGTACTAATATTAAACTAACATTTATTTTAGGAATACATCTAACCAGGTCATTGTTGTTCTTTTGATTTTTCACTAAATTATGTTTGTATTTTATATAGGATACTTACATCCTCTTCTGTAAATGTGATTGGTTGTACAGGGGTCCCTCTTATCCATGGTTTTGTCTTCTGCAGTTTCAGTTATTCATAGTACAGTATAATAAGATATTTTGAGAGAGAACAAGAGAAAGAGTGAGCAAGAACACCCATTTGTATGATCTTTATTACAGTATATTGTTATATGTGTTCTATTTTAGTTTTTGTTATTGTGGTTAATCTCTTACTGTGCCTAATTTATAAATCAAACTTTATCATAGGTATGTACGTATGGGAGGAAATGTAGTATTTGTAGGGCTCACTATTATCTGCAGATTCAGGCAGCCACAAAGAGCCTTGGAACATATGCTCTGTAAATTGCAGGGACTACTGTAAGTTTCTTTCTTATATTGCAATTGTCAGATCCTAGTGTCAGGTTTTTGCTATATTTATTGAATGAATTAAGTAGATTTTCTGACATGGGGGTTGCTATTCTTTGGAAGTTTAAAATA